GTAGGTAGTAGTAGTAGTACGTACGTAGTACGTAGTAGGTAGTACGTAGTAGTACGTAGTAGTAGTAGTACGTACGTACGTACGTACGTACGTACGTACGTACGTACGTACGTACGTAGTAGTAGAGAGAGAGAGAGAGAGAGAGAGAGAGAGGTGGTCATGTGCATAGAGAAAGTGAGATCTGGTCCCATAGTCGCCTACCCCACTTGGTTCCAAACAATTGTTTTGTTGGACTCTTAAGGGACCAAGGCTCGGTACTCAAAATTGCATTTATTTTTTATTTTTTTTATTGTTTTTCGTGTGAGGGTAGGTGCGTACAAGTGCAAACAAAAGGCATATACAAATTTTATCGAAAAATGTAGTTCTCGTGTCGAAAAATAGACGATCTAAATAACTTGTTAGAGAATATACTATGTTTAAGAATAATAATGCTTCCTTTCTTTATATCCATCAATCTCTTAGTCTAAGTGATCAATTGCCTTGCTTTTCAACTTTGGAACACTCTTTTTTACTGAATTTTATAGTTGCACCTTGTCTTTATAGCATAAGATAAAACAAATTTTTTTGACATGTTAACATGGAAATGAAGGATGGGATGTTATGTTGAATCATCTTACTCTTAACACCACCAATGCGCTAGACCTACTCTCCTTCAAAACTCCATACCACTGTATATTTGGCTCAACCGCGCTAGGCGATTGCATCTTATCAACCCCTATCTCTCTATATTCATATCAATCTTATTTTAAAAGGAAAATTTTATGATTTCTTACACACAATAATTTAGGACCTAGATCTGGCTCTGTCAAGCGGAAAATAATGGCGGTCAAATATAAGATACATCATGGTTAGATCGTGATAGTTTTGTCATGGTGGGGGACATTTGCAAACAAAATAGATTTGATAAAAGTTTTACCCTGACTGTCGACCTAACTTAACCCTCTTTTCTCTGGGCTTGGGACTGGCTTGCCACCGATCACTATCGTCCTCAGATAATACATCTAATTAATATTTGTGCGGCGAGACATGAAAAATTTTACATCTTTAAAATAAAAAAAGTAATAGAGAGAGAGAGTAGAAGCCCATGCTCCATTGAGATCATGACCGTTCCCAAAGATTGAACAATAATGCATTATGTCGTTTCCTTGTAGTCCGCATCACCATCTATCTTACAGCCATGAGCCAATTGGACTGTAGTCTCCTGTCTATGGGATTCTATAGTACGTTTATTATTTCAAAACCCAAATGTACTGTTAATATACTCTCAATACTACCAAAATTTGTGATGATCCTATTCCTGGAATATATTTTAGGCCAAAAGGCCAGAATCATCTATGTTCGAAATAACTGTCATTTTTAGGAATGCGTTCGTGCCTAATGGTCAGAGTAGCAGTGTATTTTTCTACCCAAAAAAGAAACAAGTGCTATTTTTCTAGTTGGTTTCAGGTCTCGGAGGACTTTGGCACCTTGGGCTTTCTGAAACACAGGCAAGTAATCCCAAATCCATGGCCATAAGCAGAGGCATGATGCAGAGAGGTGTTGGTCCCACTGTTGTGTTCCCCTTTATGCAAGCTGCTGGTCTTTATTAATGGCCCACCCTTTGAGTTGTTACAGGCACAAGGAGTGCTTGCTTTGTGTTGATGATGGCTCTGAGATTCTGGCAAAAATCCCAGCCACGTTTACAGAATTGGGGGAGTGGGGAAGGAACGGCCGAGGGAACTTGATGGCCATTTGGGCAATGATGGATTCCCAGCAAATGGACATTTTTCCTGTGAGCAAAAGTGACGAATGGGGTGCCATCTTGTGAATAGCATAATTATACATTTTTGACTGGTTAGACGGTACTCTTTCTCACTCTCATTTTGGCTGGTTAGATTAGTGTTGCTAAGCTCTCTCTCTCTACTCTAATTACTTGTTCTCTCTGAGCTGATTATTGGTGTTCTCTCTCTCTCTCCATCCACAAGCTGTTCTTCTAAATATGTAAAATCTAATAAGCTAGCAATAATGCTCATTATTTTTCTTTGGTAAGTTAAATTGCTATAGAATCTCTCTTTCTCTCTCTCTCTCTCTTGATGTAGCATTTGTAAGATGAAAATTATACACAAACTTATGACATTTATGGATGAAACAATCGGTCAATTTGAGCCACTTCATGAGATTCAAAAGTCCTCCATTGTCACTTTAACAGATGAACAATTACAATTATCATGTGATAACAATCAGGAAGAATGCACCTAGACAGAGAAAGAGAAAGAAAAAAGAAAATCCCTGACCTCAGCAAGGGTGAAAGTGATACACAAGGTTGACACCCTGGGTGGGTCCTAGAATAATTTACAACTGTAGAGAGAAACAAGAAACCATCCTGCCCCAAGAGCAATGGCCATGCCCTACTCTGGCTGAAAAGCTTTCCCTGAATTCAATATCGAGCAATGGCCATGGCCAACTCTGGCTGGAAAACTTCCCCTGATTTCAATATCTAGAAAGGCTTCTTCTAATCAAAAGAAAAAAGAGACAGAAGAAAGAATCAACAGTCCTACCACAGAATAAAAACAGAGCTCCTCGAGTTAGAGCCAACCTGAACTCTCTCTCTCTTTCTACCTCTGAAAGACTCACTTCCTTCCAAGCATCTGAAGTTTCTCTCTCCTGAATGCCTCTCTCTCTCTCTTAATTTGCAGAGCTGGTTCCCAGTCTCAGCTCCAAGTCCTCTCCCCCAATCATCTCTGCACACTCTTCATGGATCCGCTCCCCCTCCCATGGCTTCACCTTAACACACTCAAACTCGAACTCCCCATCATTCTCTTTCCTTGGAACAACAGGAGGGGAGAGCATGCCATTAGGAGAGAGAACCCCATTTGGAGGAGAGAGAATCCCATTAGGAGAGAGCATTCCATTTGGAGAGAGTAACCCATTCGGTGAGAGAATCCCATTGGGAGAGAACATTCCATTAGGTGAGAGAAACCCATTAGGAGAGAGAATGCCAGCGTGAGAGAGAATTCTCGAAGGGGCGGAGGGGCAAACAAGGGTGAAAGTGGGAGATGGGGGGAAAGGGCGAGGGGTTGAGGCATCTGAGAAAGACTCGTCCAGGCATTCGGGGATGGGATAGAAAGAGGTTCGGCGAGTTGGGCTTGAAGGTGCGGAAGCAAAGAAAGAGGCATTGGGGTGGTGAGGGTGGTGGGGTTTAGGGGAAGTGAGAGGTGGGGTGACAGGAGCACTGTTGGAAATTCGGAGAGGGGGTAGAGAGAGAAAGTGAGGGTGGAGAGAGGAGTCATAGTGGGAGGAGGGGTGAGAAGGGGAGGGGAAGGAGGAGGATTGGGGGCTGGGGTGGTAGGAGGAGGAGGGGGTTATAGTTGTGGAGGCTGCTCCTGTGTCCATAGGAGGTGGTGGCTTGTACCCCTGCAAGTAGGAGAGAGAGTTAGTGTGTGTTTTAGAGAGAGAGAGAGAGGAGAGGAAAGAAGAAAATCAAGAACTAAAAAACTACAAAGGAATAGTTGGTGACCACCATTGAATTGGAGAAAAAACTCCAGCGAACAAATTAAGAATAGAGGGAGAGAGAGAGAGAGAGAGAGAGAGGAGA